TATATATATATATATATCTGATGACTGTAGATAAAATTAAAACGTTTTGATGTGCAATATTTTATAGACAAAATACATAACAAAACGCTCAAGCAAAGGAATACAAAACGCTGGTGCACCTTTCCGAGTGTAGGAAAGTGGCAGGTAACAACCAATGATTCAATAGGATAGCTGATCGCTCAGGGTAATGTTTATTTGCAGGCTTGGGTGAAACTAAATTATACTGTTACTCCGTGCTCTCTTGAATAACAAATTACGACAAATCCAAATATAATCTTTCACAATTTTTATCATGTTGGCGTGTTTGTGAACGACAGTCCACCCATGTCGAACGCGTTACTGCTCCAAATGGAATGACGGTGTTATCACATCTTTCACAATTTTTATCATGTTGGCGTGTTTGTGAACGACAGTCCACCCATGTCGAACGCGTTACTGCTCCAAATGGATATGACGGTGTACCCTTGATTCTATGATTCACAATCATGCAAACGATCACCAAATTTTGACATTCACAGCTCAGTTGCCTACCACTTGAATGTGGCTGGGTTTACCTGGAGAGGTCGTCTGCTCACAAACCAAAAAAATCAGACGGGGAACGTTCTTTATGGAGTATTTGAACTTCAGATATATAATGTTCTAACCACTACCATTTGACTGTCCCCTAGACTAGTCCATGGCGTATGATTTTATTCAGTTATCTACTTCCATATTGCCACTGCAAGTTTCCTGTTATTGTTGGAGTGGTTCAGTGAAAAGATTTCTTTGTCCACGACATATTTGGGTGGCTGCAGTGAATAAGGTAAAACTTTAGTCGACTCTGTAGATGATGATCAGCATCCCTAGCAATTTTATACAAAACGCCCCATGTCGAGTGATCTTGAACCACTGTACGATCTTGTCTATTATTCAGGTGAACAATTTCCCCTATTAGGCAGCGGTGCAACAAGACATTTCAGATTACATGACGAAAACAATGGACAACAGTGAATAGCAAAATCCAGGAAAAAGCATAGTAATTGGAAGAGCTAACCTCACGAAGACATTCAGAGAATTCATTCAAAATTTGAGCTTCATCAAACATTTTCCCCTGATATCGGTGCTCGTAGTAATTGGCAATTCGTTGCCTGAGTGCGCGAGGCAGTTTGCGGTAGGCCATATATTCCTCCACTTGTTTGAACTGAAATATTTGACAGTAAATAAATTAGATTTGCCCTCCAAACAATCTGCTTTTTATGGAAACGTTTAGAGAAAAACAACAAGATATCTAACATGTTGTTACATATCAGGGTCTTTAGCATAAATTAGCTGAAACTGAGTTGGTATGGTAGGACCGAAATTCGGTGAAATAATTTTCTTTTTATTGGTCGCACCCACGCGCTGTAAACCTTGGAGAATTCTAACGACATTATTAACCATACACAGGGAAACTCCGATTCCATAATAGGGACCGGAATTTCTCATCAGAGAAACACGAAGAATGAAGTAAATTTAGACGTTCATATTTGCTTAGCAGTAGAGACCCGCCAGATGTGTACATCGCCTGAGGGATGAGAAAACCAACTTTGACGGGGAGTGTGGCTAGACAAAACTTGGTATTCGCAAAGTAAGTCATTTGTAAGAATAATTCGACCTTAATTAGAGACAACTAGATTCTACTTAATTCTCTCGTTTATCGCGTTTAAAAGAAAATTGTGGTTGTCATAAAGGAAACTACTCTTTTTCCAGCTGTTAAGGACAACCAAGTCATCCGAAACACCGTCTTGTTCGTATGTTCACCACAAAATCTTTACTAAGCAGTGTTTGCTTTTTTAACTAAACCAACCACAATTTTCGAGAAATACACCAATTTGCAAATCAATTTGGTTTTCACGGGAGACTCAATTGAATTTCTCGTTTATGATGAGGGGCGAAACCGGTTGTGGGCTGTCGAAGAGTTTTTAGCAACCTTGTGAGTAGTTTCCTTTATGAAAATATACTGCGATATCTTGAATATCGTGCCAACTGAATCATGAGGCGGCCTGTGTGCAGCACATTCAGCTGAAGGACATCATAAACGAGAGATTCAACTGAGTCTCCCGTGAAAACCAAATTGATTTGCAAATTGGTGTATTTCTCGAAAATTGTGGTTGGTTTAGTTAAAAAAGCAAACACTGCTTAGTAAAGATTTTGTGGTGAACATACAAACAAGACGGTGTTTCGGATGACTTGGTTGTCCTTAACAGCTGGAAAAATACCAGAATCGATTCATCCCGTATAGCTTCCCTTCCGTTATGAACTTTGACGTGGGACCAAACGAAACTGAAGTACCTTATAAGACTGTTTTACATAAATTCCGCTTTTCTTGAAGGTAACATCTGCAAATGCATACTCCAGTTCGATATGAAGCGATTATGCTTAATCATTTGTCACACAGAGCGAATCTGTAGGTGTACACGAAATGTAATCAAATGACCACCGGACAGAAATGCACCGCAATAATTTAGTCACGGATCTTCTCCAGGCAATTTAGCAATCTTTCAAAGAAACCATTTTTAGTTTCTCCAAAGGAATAAAATCACGCGATGTACAACAGCTGGAAGAACTCATCTCACGCAAAGTATCTCTTTTGGTGATGCTATTCATTTGGTCTATCCAGGGGGGGGTGTTACAAAGTTATAGTGAGTGGCCTTCAGTCAGGGGTAGTGTTGCCCCTTCTTCTCTTCTCTGGTTATAGAGGCAAAATAAATTGTTTTGCAACGACTCTTACGGTTAACAAAAGATTTTTTACGTCCATCATTTTTAGTGCCTTTTTTGCACATTCTCGTTATAATTTCTCAGCTGTAGTGGTGTTAGTCGGTGCGCATGACCGTTACTTCGTTTTTCCGACCAGGTAGCCACGGCGTGCGTCTGGCTGAGTATAGAGTTCAGCAACTCCAGATGAGACTGACCAGCTGGTTATTCTGAGAGTACTGGTTCCGTTCGTCACCGAACAGCACAATGTAGCTGAAACCCCTTCATCAGTTCCAAAGAGAGAGATTTTCAGAGCTCACCAGTATGGACCGTGGAAATTGCTGTAGATTGAAAACAAACTTGTTAACTCGCCATCAAATTCGAATTGATAAAATTGTCGGCAAAAAGGTGGTTACCCAGTCAACCTGCATCGATAGTTCCCGCTTCTTTACCAAGAATACGGGACTCAGGCAACATCGCCGACACGCATATCCCAGTCAAATAATGCAGTACCAGCTTAAGGTTCCCACTAGTCCCACCAGGAAAGACAGTCACTCTTGCACTTCACTGATATGTTATACGTTTTGTGACGAGAAAACTTCGTTGTTTGCAGGATAGGAAAAATATTTTCCCAATCTGTCAGCTATCAGTATTAAAGCGAAGTCACACGGAGAAGTGCACAGAGAAGAATCACTATTTGGGAACTCTGAACAAATAAGCGATTAATCAGCTCCACAGTCGTCTCCACTTATTGGTCCAATCGAAACGTGGATTGTACCGTGTCTCTCTCAGAATCCAATAACGTCACTACCAGTTTGGCTGGATTACAGGGGCGGATCGGCCCACAGGCAAATTGTTTGTTGACATGGACAACCTTCGAATCTTCAGTATCAGTGCTTCTGCTGGGTATTTCACATTGCTGTCACTATCTGAGGATTCTTCACCGAATTTTTATTGTATCCGAGTTACTTTGGGTGCAATCTTATCTGAAACCAGATATTGCAACATCCATTCCTATTCGAAGCTTCTGTGGAGTGACGTCAACTATTTTTCTTGCCAGTGCCATCAATGATCGGCCATGTAGGACGGACACATTGTTCTGATGTGTGAGTCTTGGCTATGCTCACCACACCTTCATAGGCATCAAATGATGATTGACCTCACTTCAGTTGCTCGTCTTTGCAAATGTATTTCTGTGTGGAAATTTTACTTGACTAACGAAACAAGCGATGGGAAATCTTTGTCTGCAAAGTTCCATTGTCTTTTGCTCTTGCGTATTCTTCCACATCTGTTATGTTCTTGAACATCCCCATTTAAAGTCGAGGCACCAGAAGTAGCAGGCGTGTGCCACTTTTCCTGAATTCCTTCATGCGCGTATAGGATGGTCCTGTTTACTGAATCAGAGGGCGATGCATAGACTTAATAGTGATTGTGAACCAAAAGATTTGCGACAGCGTCAAGGCAAAACAACGTCTGTGTGGTAACTTGCCTTCTAATTTTCCTCCCGATTTTCCAGCTTACCATTTAATATACATTATTCATCAGATAGCATCAATAATTTTCTGACATTTTCAATGTCACGCTTGTGTCTGTAGCCACGTAACTTATTTAGAACAGTAGGTGGGGCATTGCATCCATCAGTCATCTAGCTCCAGTGATTGAAACTGTCACAACAAGTTTGAGATATTGTGATTTTACAGTACTTTCATTCTTCCTCAAACTCGACTATCATCAGATGAATTCCGAGTTGTATTTTTTGCTTTTGACTCTGTAAAATGTCTATTGCACATCTTTGGGGAAACATATGCGGAAGGAACACAGCGGATGAATCTGTCCGTAATTGATCGTATTTTGCGATAAACTGTCTATAACGGCGTCGTTCGGCAAAGAAGATATCTTCTCATCGAAGTGGATTATATTTGACTTACTTTCTCTCTGTATAGACGTTTGGACGTATCAAATGATTGTATAAGGGCGGCCGCGTGACCAACAAACAGTGCGTAGCAAGTTGCGCCACTCATCATGCTCACAATGGTGATCCAAGCATCTCCAATGCTGATTGGTGGAAATCGTCCATAACCAATCGATAGCATGTGAGACATAGCCTTGAACAAGGCCCAGGTGTACTGCTGAAACCAATCCGCATCCTAAAAATCAATGTTCATAAGCAATTAATCGACAGCTAGCATTTGGTTCGAGCCGAATTGGATCCTACGTGGACAAATGTCGGTAGTCGTGATGATTACTGTTGGAGCAAAGCGTGATAACATCAGGGTAGTAAAACGGGATAGCTAAACTTTCGCAGTCACTTTCTGATAGTATGTGTAATATGGCCAAAAAAACCAACAATCACTAGAATGCGTTCATTCATTGTTGAGATCCCATAACAATATAAGCTAGAAGAGCCTATGTATGGTTGGACGCTTCGTGATAGCTGCCGATCAGCTTACAAGAGACTATTCGTTCAGTTACTGTTTCAAAGGGTTCCAAACAGAACTGGTTACTGAAAGTTATAGCGACCATCGTAATTGTTTCATAGAAATTCGTGGTCAGACTATTCACCAACATATGCTCATAGTTAGTAAACTATCGGTGTGTACTTTGGATGGGTTATTATTTTCCAATGAAGATTTGGCTTGGTTATGCTAGCAATTTCACCAAGGTTATCCGCAAATATATGCATCAGAAAACATGAAGGAAAAGCTTCAAAGTGTACCAAAACGCTTCTACCCCACCCTACGCAGCCACCATGGCTTACTTCCTTGTGATACATGCTAACTGCACATTCTTTTTTGAAGTCATACTGAAATAAGTTGGCTAAAACTTTCTTTGTGGAATGAAATATACTTACCGCATTTCTAGGTTCGCAGCGTCCGAGCTAAAATGCCTGCGCTCATTTCAGCCTAGTCGCATGAGCATTTGACTGCTGTGCATGTTTCAACATGATGTTAACCAAATTCATGTTGCGTAGTGTGCTGAATATCTTTATTGTAGCTGCTGCTTTAAACTATCGATCTGAGAACGATCGATCTGAAAAACGAGCTCACTTTTCCTCTCAACCAGCCGTTCCAATCTGGCTTACCACGAAACTAAACCGCCCGCGAAATTTGATTGTAAACTAACTTTGCCAGGTTGTCGAAAATATGAGCTGCGCTTTCGATTTGAAGAGATTTGCAGATTGATTTTCTGTCAATTAACATTCACCAGCTATCCCCCAAGTTAAATGAGGTTTGGGTAAAATCAGAAAAAGTATATTTTTTGAATTCGACAGCTATCTGACACAGCAACTTGCATTTGCTATGTGGCCTGCCGAATCCGGCTGTTATATTAAAAACCGCGATACGTTCTCCACCGTTTAAATGTAATTAGGCGGTACGGCAAGGTAGATCACAGTAACCAGGGTTGACACAGTCGATTGAAGTACCTAAAGAACACAGTATAATGCGATAAGAGAGTTTATGACTGTGTGTATGCCAGCTTTTTGCTACGCCGAGGTATTATTGCTGCAACCGTCGTTGATACTATATCAGCATATAATACCGCTGCTTTTCCACCTATGGGGTTTTGTTTGGGCGAGTCAGCTTTTAGCCTTCTCGGTGCATCGCATTAAGAAGCGCATCCATCCGTAATTTCAAACCACGTTTCCAGTTTTGACGATCTCTCAGAGAAAAAAAAACAGCGCAATGACAATATTACGTCTTTTGTCTGACGGCTGATATATACTTCCAGCACACAGTCAGGAGTTTTGTTGACCTTGATCTTACCCATGAGGTCAGCAAGAAGCCAGAACTAAGGAACTACTTGCTCCATCCCTTGGGAGAAACAAACAGAAAATTGGTGAGCAAATGATTTGACCAAAAGCAATGATAGGATGACCGAAGCGCGCTACTACGCCCTGCGCAGTGGGCAGCGTGGTATTAGTTATCGGCTGCACATCTGATACAGTTTGTCGGTAGTTGATATACTGGACTGCTTCGTCTATGGTGCGACTCATTCATGATTTAGTATTCTGTCCAAGTACTTTTTGTGGGCACAGACTTTCGTACCATATCTAGAGCACATTTCTATGGATAACAAGACTAGCTTGATGCGATTGTGGTTCAGAACAAACCAGAACTGGTTACTTTATGTTCAGCCTTCTTCTAAGGATACTAACATAGTCTTTCTCAAATATATTGTGAGAGTTTCTGAACTACGGATGTGACCGGAAGCACGGTCGTCTCTACAACTAAATTGTATCAGTGTAAAATTTGTTTCAAGATGAATATTCACAGTAACACTACTTTGTGTGTATTTGCCGTCCCAGTCAGACAGTAACACTGGGTGATTCAAGCCCGGACAAAGCTTCACAGGATTACAGGCGTTTTGAAGTTTGTATGAACTCTATGCGGTCTAGGCTCGACCACTTGTGCTTCAGAGAATCCTTGACTTCAAGCACTGCTATATCCACATAAAGAGTAATATTGTGTAAAAGTATGTGATAAGTTGTGTCCACAGGTTGATAGCAGTTATAGGCAGTCAGGATATGCAGAATCACATCAGTCTTGGGTGAACGTTCCTTGTCTGTCCTAGTGCATTTATTCTCGTAAGTTCACACCAAGGGAGGGAAGTAATAAATCCCAGTTTCTATTTTACTAGAGTTTATCAGCGGTGCACATCCAAATCCGGACAGTTGATAGGTGATTCGAGCTTGTCATTGCTCTACTACGACTTTTAGGCAAACGCTCAGCAGATTTCAAGTGTCATTGTTGCTAGCGGATAAGACACGGGGTTGCCGTTTGAAGTGGCCGGGGACCACTTGTATCGCCCAAGTGCAAACAGGTTGATGTTCAAGCTTGGAATTCCAGGTGCATCTGAAGTGGGCCTCTGGAGTTGAAACCCCGGTACGACCAAGGTTGTGTACTGCTGTTGAACTCTAGTAAGAGAGAAACCCCAGTCCAGTGCTTACTCCCTTTGGTGTACACTCGTCTGATTAATTGCTCGTAGAGAAGAAGAATACTGTTCAAAACGTGAGTATAAAATTTTGTTAATCTATCCCAGTGGATGCTTCGAATTGCTACCATTTTTGAGCTCTATGTTACCTGATTTCCAATTCAAACCCAAATGAGAACGTCCACTGAAGCTAGAAAACTCACTAGTAAAAACCTAATTTTGTACATGGTAGGGCCCAATTTGAGTTCAGTTCTTGGCAAATGCATGATCCAATCGTACCTACAAGATTGTGACCTTTGATTAGTAGGTGTGGCGAAGTATCTAGGTGGATTGTCGAAAAGGCAAAAAATCATTTAAATGGTAACAATATTTGAACCACTTGGGTGCTATTTTGGAAAGTGTGCGGCCACGTCCCATTGCAGTTGGTCAGATTGTTTGCCCAAATCAAAGCCGTGAAGATTACATCAGTTAAAACCAAGCGGTTCAAAACAGTTGAAATCACTGTAGCATGTGTAACAGTTCGTAAGTTACGAAACATCCATTAGTTCTGACAGGCATCACACAGAGGGTTGCTGTGTTGAAACACGTGACACAAATATTTCACCAAACTATGAGAAGACGTCAGTTATAAGGTTAAAAAACTCACGTGCGCAGTGCGCTTCATTCAACTTTTGTTTCTAGTGAATTATCACACTCCATTTTAAACAAGTAGTTTGAATTCCGCGAATGCGGACTAAGGTGAACTAAGAGTATTCATATTAAACAGTGATTCGCGTTTTTAACCAACGGGCAACTGAGGGCGCCAAATATGCTGATTTATTTGTAATCCAACCCTAAAATTCCTAATAAAGATATCAGAACACCAAGGAGAACTTCAAGTTCTCAGGTGTGATTCGAGATTATTATTGATTTTTCCACAGACTTCCAGATAGTTAAAAAGTTTTTAAGTAATATTTCCAAAAACTGCTGTCATTGTGTACTCTCAAAATTGAAACACGTCATCACCAAAAATGAATTACTTACCTCAATTTTACAGCGTTTGACCCAGGAGTCAGGTGGAAATTCCATCAGCATGGGGATCAAGTATTGTAGGCAAGCATTCCAGTGTCCCAGAAGCAGCATGAGTAAAACGAGGTTGAAGATACCCATAAATTTGCTGGCAATGTTAAGGAACTGTGAAGTGAATGGAATTGAAGCTGTTAAACATGAATACCGACGGGAAAACAAATTTAAAAGGGCATTACTGCCCTTTCCTTGGGGCTAAAATATGCCCGTGCAAATTGGGATTTGAGGTTTCGCTTGCTAGTCACAGTTACAAGCGAGGCTCCCACCAGTATCAGGCGACAGCCATAATTCCAATATCCGGGCTCGTGATCTAAATAAAATTGCACTTCAAAAATTATTTATTTGACTGTGGTGCTCTAGCTTGATTAATAGTTCCTTTGGAATCTTCGTTTGTCTGCTGAGTTTGACAGGAATTAAAATCAATATGCAAGAACTCAGTTAGTTGCCAAATATCTTGGTTACACATGGTTTTACCTCATAATTGCCTGTCATTAGTTCTGAATGATTTGCCTCCATTTTTACGACTTAGTGCAAACCCAAGTAAATGTTTAGTCTCTTTTATGGTCATAAGCATGTTCTCTTTGAGGAACAAGGGTTACAGACATGAGCGGCCTGACTTTCCATCAGAAGTCTGATTAATTCAACATCTAATTGAATCAAATCATTCCCTTTCTGATCAGATCATATGCTTTATGAAAGGAAAGTTAATCAAATGAACAACTGGTACTGGACACAATGAAGTCGAATACAGAGAACGTCTTACTGGATTAGAAGAAATAGCTCAGTGACATAAAAGTACCCAACTACAAAAATATCAACTTCTGATGAAGTTGTGTTTCAGTAAGCATCATCTTTCAACATTTTGTGGTATTGTAATTATAAAGGTACGAGGAGATTATAAAATATCCGTGGAGAGTATGTCTGTCAAATATGATTAGTCAGTGCTAAAAGTCGACAAATGGGGTACAGCCGTTTCATCATTTTTGAAAACCATCACCAGTGAGCGCCTCACAAATCACCAGGACGACTTAGACCTTCAAACTGCTGGTTGCTTGTCGAGTTCTATGGTGTTTTTTGGCAAGCTTGCATTGCAAACAGTGTGTTAAACTTGCATTTAGAACGTTAATTTCAAGAGCGTAACGTGCAAAATATTAAAAATTAAACTAATCTAATAGGAGATAAAATTATTCACAAGCATAGAAATAGTTCCGCTTTGTGAAATCACCAGCTGAGCAGCCATTCTTCATGTGACCGAATAATTTACCGCTGATATTTCCTGGAATTATTTAAACTAACAATTACTCAAAATACTGTATGGTGTGTTTGTTTCGACGCAGCTAGTAATGGGTCTTATCGAACTGGTGATATCCGTCCCTGTCTGTGGTGGTTTTAATTCCGTCTGTCCGCAGTAACTTTCAGTATTCACTTACCACTTCTCTATCCCGGTTCGTTGGCACACTGAATGAAGTCCTTGAACAGGCATTTTGTTGATATATCGATATATTTTCGCTGAGCTCGAGGCCTTCACCATGACTTACAACTTGTGCAGGGTGCATTCCGTAGTTCATTTTACATCCTAATTTTCCTGAAAGATTCCTTCATCAATCAGGTGCGACACTCAACTATTCAGGAAATCAACTGTGCTCGACCTTGTCAGTAGTCCACAACTACTATGAATGATGTTTTGTAGGATGCAAATTTTTACTGACACTCCAGACGAACTACAAACAAAATCGGACTTTTGAGATTGCAGGGAACACCGTTACAATACCATAGCGTTCATAAAAATGGGTTCGCCAATGTTCTAGCTAAACAATGCTGATATGGACTAAGTCTTCCTCCTAGATGCTGTTTGAAAGTTACTGTTTTAAATTTTTAAAGTAATTCTGGGTGAGATTAAAATACAGACCCTACCATGAGTGGAAGATGAAAACGAACCTCTTCCCACTGGCTAACATAGCGGACCAGTCGCGTGAGTCGAAGTAAACGCAACATGCTTAGCAGCTTTGCAAGCCGCAATATTCGCAGAGTTCTGCCTGAAACAAAAAAAATAAAGAAAAACGAGCAAAATAGTGAATATCTGATATATGTCATAAAAGCATGATTGAATATCAAGCTAAAGTGAATAGTACTTAACGGATGTGCTTGGCTGTTGAAAACTAAAGGAGTTTTAATCAAGTTACCTCCGGAAAATGACACACTGGCAAGACGCCAGGAAGAGTTGTACAACGGTTTTTGTCATCGTTAGTAACCAAACAACCAATCTTGACGCGAGTATCTGAAGAAGCTATCATGTGAACTTTCAGGCTGATTGTCCTATCAAAGATCCTTGTGGCCTAGATACTCAGTGTCATCCCGTCAGCTGAATTCGGTGGCTACATTCACCACAGGTTGTGTAACCTAGTAACAATGCAGTAGACTATATATATATATATTTCTGCCACACCTACGAAACACACCGATTATTCCAGTTTACCCTAGTTGTCTAGTGGCTTTGGGACATTCGTGTTGTCCTCTGCCACACAGAGTAAAACGCTTTTAGTTGTCGAAGCAATATCTAGTTCACGTTTGATCATTTCCATATCAGTGAATTTTTTCATTGCATTGTTGGATAGTATGCGTTTTTTAAGCCCTTCCTGATTATCAAGAACTCAATGAAGCGAATCGGCTTGATATGATGGTCAAATGGTCTGTTTGCACGTCTTTGCTAGTTCTTCAAAATATCCTGCATGAGGACTTCAATATTGGAAAAAATAGTTTTTAACCTAACAAGCCATTCACGTTTTCTTCAAAGGCTTATGATGTTATCGTTTTCTGTAAAGAGTGTCATGGATTCTAAAACCAGTCCAGTTATACAAATTTTGAAGAGCATTGGTTTCTGTCGTTTATTTGATCCCGTCTAAGCACCCAAAGGATTCCGCGTAAGTGCATTTTGTTGTTTTTGAAAGCATTGTGACCATAAAATTGACAAATACATAAGTATCATTAAGGTCCCTCAATGGCGTTCTGACCTCAACACCAGGTGCTTAAGAAAACCACTCAGAGATGGGTGCACATCAAATGAAAAGCTTATCTTTGTATATTGTTGTACCGTACCACTACTCGATGTCATATTATTTCAGAAAACTGTGCACCACATTTTTTTCAGACAATAATTAGGCTTGCGCAGGTTTAAATGAGCAGATTTAAATCTTGCATCAAATCTACAGTTCATTTACTCCCATCAAACTGAAGGTTATCTTGTCTATTGAAGAAAAACAATGGTGATTCCCTATGAGAATAGAGTTGGCATTCAGAATAACGTTAATCCATCAATTATCTCTGATTGGAAATTCCAGACAAGAGCAAATTGTTGAAAAACAATGAGCGACGAATACTTGTACAAGATAAGACGACTTTTGTAAGACCGATAGCTTAGAATAACGAAAATAGTGGGCTTTGCTTTTGAAGATTCCTAATCCCTTTTTCAACCTAATGAGGGGTGTATTGCCTGAGCAGGTAGACACGATACAGAATGAATAGTCTCGACTTAGCAGCAGGCGATATATGATACCAGGCTTCCGGATAACTAATCGGCAGACGAGGTGACCTGTCTATTTTAGATAGTTGACGTCAGATATTTGCTCTTTTCTCTGATCATGGTCCTTGTTTAAGAATAGAATGGCTCGATTTTAAAAAAACACCAACACTTAATCGTAGTAGTGGAGAGATTTCAGTTTAAAACACACATTTATTTAATCAAAAAGTAAATTGATGAATTTAAGTTGAGTGAGAGCATATTTCGGTGGATATTTAAAATGAAAGTCAAATAATATCGGCGAATATTTTAAAAATTTCCCAGAGATTTTTGTGCATATATTGTGCCCATTTGCCGCCGTTATTTTAACCTTTCTAATAACATTGTATACGCCTCACGTATATAAATTCAGCTTATCCATTCACACTGTTACGTTCCCAACTCGACAGACTCGATCGGCTATGGAAGGCCGTAAGCGTCCGAGTTGAAAGTGTGATGGTAAAACGGAATTCAATAGCCAGAAAGGCACGGTTCGGACTTTGTGTATGGCCAGTGTAGGTGACAGAGTGATCTGAAAGCTAACCAACGTCCTCTATTTTTTGTGTGATGTGACGACTCTCTGTGTTTGGATTGTATTTGATTCACTTGCACGGACTATCAGTGTGTAGCGTTACTAATTTTACCCAACATAGCAAAGCACATAATTATCTAAAATTAATTTTGTGAGCGGTTTTAGACAAAAGATTTTAAATGAAGTGCGATGTGAAGCTGCTAATGTGGCAAGAATGCACAACACGGTCCGCAGCGTAGGCCGTTTTGATTGATAATCTTAGTAGAACATGAGTGACGGAACGTATTCTTAATTTACCTCATCCTCATTTTTAGACTCGTGTTGGGTTACCATATTTTCCTTAACAATGCGTTGAAAACGGCGACTTATCTTGAAAACCTCCACGGACTTTGCCTCCACTGACCGACTTAACTATTGCACGAACAATACATTTCACAAAAGAATAAATTCCGTACACGAGTTCCGTTTGGTCATTTCAAGCTTTTTTCTCATCTCACTATTCTGCTTGGCCAGTCATACGTTAAAACAGATGGTTAGCATTTAGTTATAAAACATCGGTATAGAGTATGAAATGTTTAACTCGAATAATTTTTAGGATTTTCAAGTTTTGTTGCAAAAAATAAAAGTCAGTTCCGTTTGCAATCAATTCTAGTTTTTCCTGCCTCTCCAACCTTCTCGCTTTTCTTCTGAAAAGTGTAGGAGTGGTTGATAAATTGTTTTCTTTACCGCTCGTTTCTTGTTCAGTTTATCCTTCAGTACTAATGGGTGCATCAGATTTCACTCTCTTTCCTATACACACTATTCTGGAGCACCATTAAAACATTTCAACCCATGACACGCTCATGTTGATGACCAAACTGTGCACAAGTGAGGAGATGATTAATCTTTATTAGTGAATTTTGATCTTTCTATAAGTCATTCTCTCAATAAAGTGGAAAAGTTTGACAAATTCTTCTGAAAACTGCATCATGCAAGGACGTCAGCTTGTGATAAAGGGCTGAGAAGTACTGTACTTATTGATGTGCGACAACAACACATATTCCGTAGATCCAGATTCTTATTGAAAACCAGTCTGTTCCAATATGTACAGTTGACTATTACCCCTATACCGCAAAGTAGACTGGATACCAGTGTATTTGAGAAGAACTTGGAATATTATCCAGGGTTAAGCTTCGAACGTATCAAAATAAGCTTATGCACCTGCTGCTTTTTGCACCTTTGGTCAAAAAGGGTATTTTAAGACCTATCACCATGCGGTATACTTCGTAGTTTTTTGACCACTGTGTTGTCACACCATACTGCTTTGAATCGTCAGGTGTCACGCTTAAGAATATCTGAAAACAATTAGCGGATTGGGAGCTGTAAATAGACACAACCGATATTTATTCGTCAGTAGCTACTCGTCAGTAATGCAGTTGGAGTCTATAGTCCGTGTAAAAGGGTTCAGTAACGTGGTTGCAGACCGGTCCACTAATAAAGGATAATAGGTATTGTGGCTAGGCCAACATGAGGGTTACATTATGTCGGCTTTGACTATACAACAAAGATGTGAGAAGACGCTTTGAGTCGGCACCGGAAAATCTGATAATAGGTGGATTTGTGATGTTGAGTAAAATGAAGGGTGCTGAGTTCGGATCAACCTGGTGAACTGTTAAAGAACGTTGAATGGGACAAATTTCGATTGAGTTATTGTCTAAAGTTTGAACCCCAAGACTGTCATGCCTCTTTCTGCGATTGAAACACCAGTCGATTCTGTCCAGTATGCTTTCGCCGCAGACATGTTTTCGTCTTGTAACTGTGTTGGTTAACCTACTGACCATTTATACTTGTTCTTCATTTTTGTTTTATCTTACGGATTGATTGGTACTGTGGCATGTGTGTTATCTTACCAGCATACTAGCCCTCACTTTATGTTTGGGCGTCACTCAGTTATTCACAATCCAACTGATTTTGGGTTAGGTGCTGAGCATATTTTTCAAATTGCAAAAATGCATAAAAAAGACGTGCCCCCAATGGGCGAGTGCAAGAGATTATGGTCTTTGGGTAATGTTGTTACAACCATCACACCACTGGCTTACTGGAAAATCCATCATCATTTTCATTCTCAAATTTTAGTATTGATTCTTTGCTGTTAAGTATTATGGTGAAGTAGATAATGAAAATGGACGGAGAAGGGGCTTAGTCTTAGACTACCACGATTATTTCAAGGTATCTATACCTAGTGACACCCTTTCAGGCGATGGTGGATAGAAAATGACAACAAAAAAGCCATCAGCATTGAATGGTAGTTATGCCTTGAGACGTCTTCACTTATGCACAGAAGATCAGACCGTATCATGAAAGACGAGTCCCACCAACAACACTCAAACAGGAGAATCCACTGCAATCAAAAAGGTGTTTCTAAAATAATCTTTGCGAAAAGATTGATCGGAAAGGAGTGTAGCCCCAAAGAAACCCATGAAGATGCTAGATGAGAACAAAAATCGTTTCAAGCCCAAAAGTGTGCAACAACAGAGGCTACTTTTTACCTGAGTCGCCTGCACAGCTGTGCGGCACAAGTGAAGAACAGAAGAAATATGAAGAACAGCGGAGTCTTGATGACTATTCATTAAGTCACTACCTGAGTCGCCTGCACAGCTGTGCGGCACCAGTGAAGAACAGAAGAAATATGAAGAACGGTGGAGTCTTGATGACTATTCATTAAGTCAAAGTAAAGTCAAAGTAAAGTCAAAGTAAAGTAGGCCGGAGGTAAGGGACACTCAGAGTAAGAGATTGTTCCACTGAATAGCTCACAACTTGGTTCAATACAGCTGTTTGCAGCAAATTTGCTCTGGGTATTCGATAAACGCAGCGAATGACCACTTTATCAGCACACTTGCAATGAAAGAAAACGTCAGTAGCCCGCGTTCGTCTTACGTAGGGGCAAAAGAACCAGAATACAAGTAGCGTATTTATCAACAGTGAGGGAGACCAGCGTTCAGCTACCCCTATGCATTGGGTGAGATTCGCAAATTTGTTTTCAATTAGCAAAGTGCGTCCATTTACAAATTAGGTTGGTGTTAACGGGAGATTCTACTAAATCTCAACTGAACCTCAGTTATGGAATGGGTTGTGACAATCGGGCCTAATGCATACGATGGCTAATGGTGACTCAGAACTAGGCCTACATGATGAGGCACAAGGAGGGCAAACTCAGCAGCTATTTGTCTTAGTTAAGTTAGACAGACGTTTTCCACCTCTCATTCCAGTTGAAAGCTAAATTACGGGTCATAACAATACCAGCAGCATCTCTCAGTCAATTAACAACAGATGTGAAACGTCAGACTGACGGTATGAACTAGGGGAACAACGGTGTCAATTTTAAAACGAGACAGGCGATACACGAACACCGGCCATTCTTGTTACACCAGGGTAGCTTTAATTCGATGTAGGACAACTTGTGCAAGCAGCTACCAGCTGGGAATTTTTCACTGGAACAATAATTAGTGGATACTGCAGATATGGTTTCCTGAGGATATCGCAGCACGTTCACTTCATATTGCGCAAAAGTCTCCTTCTGGTCCCCCCTAGACTATGCTTTTTGAAGCAGACTCCTATGATACCGATATTTATAAACATAGCTTGGTTTGTTTTTCAGGAGTGCGGGAAAATTCAGTTTTGACTGGATGCCATGAGGTCAGATTAGGAAAACGATCTGATTCTTTTGAAGAGTTGGCAAAAAGCCTAACCTGGGTCACGCAAATTGGCAAGTTAGAAAGTAGCCAGCAAAATCAGACAATTTTGAAACAGGAAAACTGAATTTAATATGCAAATTTAGAGGCAAATGTTTGATAACTGCCTAAAAATCAAAGCGTGCATCCCGTAAAGGTGCAGATGAGATGGACTTGGGGGGAAATTTTTTCGGATTTATGAGACAACCCCAGGCTCTTTTCACATATATCACGTCCCGTGTAACAAAAACTCATAGATGAGTCACCACATGTAAGTCGTTTTATCTTTCTTCATCAGAGTTCGATTAACCCCGTTTTATCATTAAAAATTGATTATTTCGGTGTTATTTTTGAACGGAGAGCCCGGAGGAGCGAAACAACGTTCTTATCAAGCCCTACGTGGAATTACAAACGTTCTAGACATTGAACCCTTGATGCATTGAGGCAGCCGTTCAGATGTCTCACAGCTCGTTTGGTATGTTTGGAAAGAACAAGTTTTAAAATATCTCTTAGAATACATTCTGCAAATTTTCGGAAAACGAAGCCATTTAAAATGACCGATGCTGCAGGTGAATGCCATAACTTTGAAGCAAATGCAATCATACATGGTCTTCTTGAAGTAGAGTATGAGATGATATGTCTTAAAATGTAAACTTTAAAACCAAACCACTGCCAATTTGAAAGGATTGAATGCCTAAAATGGCAAGCCTTGCGCTCAGGTTTTTTAATCACGGAAATTATGGAATGCCTGGGTAAATAAAGACACTCCTATTGGACGAAATATATTCATGGTTTGAATTCTACCCAATTCTTAACAGACTAAATTTGGTTGTAATTGAAACGCCAAGTCTATGGAATGCGCCAAAAACAAACAGAGACACGCAAAAACGTTTTTACCTCGGAATATTCACGTACCCAGACATTTACTGACAGATGCCTTTTTAGACATGAAAGAAAGACAACTTCTCGTTTATGTTTCCAAAGGACACACTGCGGTCTACTTGTGGAAAATATTTTGTTTTTGCAGGCCTTAATGACACTGAAGATCTCTAAAAACGTAAAAGCTGTTTGCATTTATTAGATTGTTGTCTTCTGTGTCAGAAACTATTAACGGTTTCGAATTTCTCAACGTTATCGTCATCGGACACAAAGGCCGCGTCTTTGTTCTTTTTTTACCACGCTGACTAAGTGGAAGTCACAATTAATCGCTCTTCTATTTTATGAAGGATGTTTTTTGCTTGCTGTACTAGGCCACCAACCATTCAGCAGAAAGAAAAATGTTTTATTGAAAGTCGCTAGAAGAGAGTCAATCTAGCTATAATAATACAGCATACGTGCTGTAGTCGCTTGTACTCATGCAGCCGCCAGAAATTCTTGCCTGCAGAGAAAAATCAATCTTTGAAGTATAATATGTTTTCACCAGAATTTCCTGTATCAAGTATTCTTTGTCGTTTTACTTGCAGTTGCGATGAACTTCACTGTGACAGGCCAGATATCTGCTTACGCGAACACGGTTTACAGTATCTACTCTTACTATGGAAACATTTAAGGGAAAAACATAGCGTATTAGGGTGAGGTGTTATGCTCTAACGCTTTGGTTATCGTGTGCAAAATTCACCAAAGATTTCTACAATTAACAGAATGAGTCAAGTGCAGCGCCATTTGATTCCGCTATACCTATCCTTGAAAAAGAATGCCAGCAGCAACCGAAATGCTGGATCACGGTATCCTATCCCACTACGCTGTTTTAAATTTAAAATACTTCTATGCTACGCATCACATGGCCTGTAATTTTTTAATCAGTTTTCGAGACGATTTGGCCCGGACTCTTTAAACATCCATGCCTACATTTGAGCGAGCTGATCAATCGACTATATCGTACCAACTAAAACGTGCCTAATCAATTTACAGGATTGAAACCGAACTGGCGTTTTCATTGTGCAATATCAGCTCGGAAATGTTGGTTCCCAGTAAGTCTATGTAAGTTAAAGGAGTAAAACCATCAGCCAGTCTTAGAAGTGAGAACAAAAATCAAATGATTAAAACGTAATTGGCTTTGTCCACAGTTTTCTAACTATTTATTTTGGTTTGTACGTTAAAAAATGTGGTATTTACTGCTAAGCATAGAAAAATAAACATGTCTGCCGCCTGTGACTAAGTTATTCATATTCATTTTGGAATGCACTGAACTTGTTCAATTAATTCAAAAACAGTTGCGCCAAAGCTCTTCACGGTATTTACAATAAACTTACCCGCACTGAGAAACTGATTGTAATGGTCTTTGTTATTGAATATGAGGTAGATATAGTCCATAGGAATTGAGCTGATGAAGTCAAGCATAAACCAAGATTTGAGATAATGCCGAGCAATTTCTTTGGGGTTCAAAATAATCTCATCGGCAAAGTCGTTTGTCACGACACCTTTGCAAGGGAAACGAGAGTAGGAAAGCGAAATGTTAGAACACAGTCAATGGTGAAACCCAAGGAAGATTCTACTTGTTAATATAACCAAACATATCGTGTATCCAAAACGGCCGGATTTATAAACATGGATTTGTTGAAGTATAATAGTATGTATTGCAGCACAGTCAGGTAAATCTTTGTGGGCCGAAATTGCATAAACATGCGCAAAATAATTAGTTTTTCGCATAATATGGAACACTATTTAATTGTGGACAACCTGAGCCTGTGTCTGCTTTAAGTATACTATTTTTACCGCACAAATCTGACCTCAAGCAGCCGAAACCGTCAGGATTGTGTTTGCATTAAAATAAACTTAAAAAGACTCTGAGCTACGAAACAATGCTTAGAGACCTTAATGTTAGCGTGTTCCTTATTTTTTGCTTCTAAAATCAGATTTTTCGTTTTTGTGTGGTAAATCGGCTAAAAGCGGTGATATTTTTGCCTTTACCACTCCACGTCTCTTGCTACAGCGCCGACATTCTTTCTTCCATGAGTGGTGTCCATATAATAGAATTAGTTTGAGCTTTCTTGGTTTTCGATGAATTGGTCAGACAGCTGTGAACTGGCGAAGTGCATGAAATAACCGTCAGTGACTGACTGAAGGTCGATAACTGCTACAACGTTTGTGTGGGGTCGAACACAATCAAATTAACTAATAAGCAGAGTAAGAGACAAAACATTCATCTTACTGACAAGGATGTTGACAGGTAAAGAATGGAATGAACTGGTTCGTTGCGTTACCGATAAGGAGGGTCAGAAAACCCAGACTACCTAATAGATATGAACCAGTCAATTCGCACTTGTTAATGAAAACGACATAAAAAGACATAAAACGGCATAAGTTTATCTTGGTAATGTACTACTCATAAGGTTGCTGAAAATCCATCGACAGCCCACCACCGGTTTCGCCCTTCTTGGGGCTCATCAGGTAGGCGCAGTCCCTAGGTTCACGTCAACCTTATGTTCTACTTGAAACTAAATTGCACGAAATTAGCGAACATCATAAACGAGAGATTCAGCTGGGTTCCAGGTAAGTCTCTCGAAAGAACCAAATTAGTTTGCAAATGAGTGTATATTCGCATAAGTTTGTTGTTGAGTTGAATCCCATGGACTGTGTCTGTGAAGCAATCGGACAGATTTGTCTGTATATTGGTTCGAACAATTTGGACAATGAAGGCACATCTACAAGGAACAGGGAGCACTTTGCATGTGGACTGGGCCGCAAACGACAGTCTGGTTTGCGTAGCTCTGCACGAGTGAGACAGGTATGAGCCAGTATGTTTCATGCGACAGTGTTTGTGTGTTTCTGAAATCAAATTTGGCGCTATTCCGTTATACTCATTTAGAAGTGTTGGGACCATAGCTTTGTAGGAATAAATCTATGGTAATGGTGATGTGCAATGGATGGTTTTGGGAAATGCTGCAGAGCAAAACATGGTCAGGCCCAATAATCTTGTTTGACAGCATAGAGGTAAAAATGAACCAATGTTTCCAGATAACGTAACGCCTCATGACAGCGTGGACAAATTCAGCTAGCTTGGTAAATGACTAAACTCTTACATCTTGCTGCTTTTTTTTAAGTTAGTTGGAAGATTGTAGGCTAGTTTAAAGGCCGCTGCAATGTTGACCTGTTAACTTGTAGCGAGTAAGTGACCTAAGTCTTATGCTAAGGCATATGCTCTTTGAGAAAACCGACCTAAGTTACTTTGCACACGCGTTTGGATTTCGTCCTTATTTTGCGGCGTTTATATCAGCCTACACGGGTAAAGATAAATTGATTAACGCTTAATGGTCGTCTGGTAATATGAACTTCTTGGTGTTGTCTGCTAAGAGAGTGGATGTTAAAAGCTACTGCTGTGTACATTGGTATTCATATGGCTAGACAAACATTTTGGCTCAAACAATATGTCAGACTTTGCTCCTCCAGGCGACTGGTATTATCGGTTTTGCACTTTCATTCTAGCCAAAAGAAGAGATATTGGAAATTTGTCTCAACTAGTACAGCCTTGTGGTTGTGTTAAAAAAAACCAAGAGAATACAAGACGATATTCCAAATTGAAGTTTGGGTGGAATGTAGATAATTAAGGGAGTTGTAAAATTTGTCTATGCATCCTTTTTCTGTACTGTCGCAAATATTTTAATGAGTCCCCACCAGAAAGCCTAAGCACTTGACTCCGGTTTTGCTCTTACTATAGGCCGCCAGTCGTGGACGATCCTCGAATATGTCGGTAATTGGTATCTGACAAGCGAGCAGAGTGTTATTGCTACGATAAAACCGTACAGTGGGCCTACTTGAGGTATCACGTTTAGAAATCCTGACATGTTTACTCTTGAGCAATAGAATTATTTTGCAAACATTGTATACCTTTAACCTTTCACTAAAGCTTCTGTACAGAATTATACGGTTCATATGGACTTCAGTCAAGACGTAGACATCCTCATAAGTATTCGAAACATTCTTACTGCAATTGGTCTGTCGTTGTTCATGACAATTTTCTCTTGAAGTGTGTTAACTTGTCAAGGTAACGTCTCGTTATCCGGTAACGCTGGCATGTCAGAAGATAGTAGTGATGGACACATAAGCTATCTTAAAGAACCTACTGAGTTAAATTTCCCCCAGTAGAGGGTTAAAGTTTATCAATCGAGTTGATAACTAACAGAATAGTTCTTTTGTTCTGTGACGGGATATTTAGATGTTTGGTGTTCGCGCTTTTCGAGGTAGTGCTCTTGAAGGCTGAGGTGGAAAGTAGGTGTTTTCAAACAGACTGAATATTTTATTTGCATGTGACGAAGGCCCAGTTAAAATCAAGCTACGACCTTAAACAAAAATAAATTCAGTGATTGGAGATGGCTTGATAGAAGCAGCGGTACACACTGGATCTAAAGTTTTCGGAAGTGAGTGCTTGGTGAATAGAAAGATAATTTAGTAAACTGATAAGATGGTCTGCTACGTCAGTATCTGAACATTAGACAGCGATGGGCGTTTTAGTGATGGACTTCGTTAAACACCGAATTTCAGCTCAGGGTGTGTTTCTGTCTCCCTTTGAATCTGAGTTAGCGCTTCAAGGTGACTAAGAAACAAAACATAGCATCGATTTCTCC